TTACATATACTGTGAAACGTTTTCTTTTTTCCTTTAAAAACGGACAGAACTTTTTTGGTTAACTTGTATTTCTAATGCAAAATTACCAACGCAATTTTTTTTACTTTCTTTAGCTATATATTACTTGTGCCTCCAATCAGCTTTGGTATACAAGTGATTTGCGCCGGCGTGCGGATAAGGTTCATCGAACACGCAAAATAGTAAGAGCAGTGCGATAAGGATGCCTTTACTCACTATATTTATTTAACCGATTACAATAAGACAGTTCTAAGAGAACTAGAAGCCATATTAGGATTTATTAACGGTAGGCACAATTCTAAGAGCCTACATCAAGCAGAGGATACGGTATTGATGGCCAACACCGAAAAAAAACTGAAATTCTTAGAAAATTGAAGGTAAGCAAGAAGAATGGACTATTAACTGTAAGAAAACATAGTGAAAATATTTGTTAACAAAAGAGACATCCCGAGATTTGAGCTACATATTAGAGATTTCGAAATCAAGCAGATGCAAGAATTTTTGTTATGCAGTAAGAGATGTCGGAAAATCTGACATCGAAATCCGAAGGTGCAGAGGAATAGGATGAAGGAACAGGAAACAGTCTTTAGAAATAAATGAGAAGATGATGAAGTGATATGTATTATCCAATCTCTTATATGGCAGTAAATGCTGGACATTCGCTTCACAGATGAAGAAGAGACTTGAAGGCGAAGAGATGTGATTCTATCGATGAATGCTGGGAAGACAATGAACCATCGATAAGTTTTAAGGAAAATAAAAAGTTTAATGGAGCTTATACCTAGAATTTGAAAGAAGCACTTTGGGACACATAATGAGTAAAAAAAAAATACTTGGAGAATCTAACGCTTACAAGAAGACAAAAAAAAAAATAAGGAAACATAAACACTCCAAGAGTTACAGAGAGTAAGTGACACAGTTGATGCGAGTATGAGCGGAAGATAACGATTAACCATAGACTTGAACTGTTTAGGATTGTAGCAATCGGAAAAACGTTATCTTTAATGTAAATGTAACCTCAAAATGCCAAACAATATTTGCTGAAATCTTCGACACGTCTTGCGAAATAACATTGTTAAACCTCCACTCTTCAGTCCGGATCATCTTCTTCGAGAGCATTGAGTATTCTTCAAATACAACTTTTCTAATAAAAGAACTTCAAATGTAACTGTTTTGAAATTTGGTCTTAGAAATTCGTTTGATTATCTTCAACTCTGACCTTTGTAGATGCGATTTTTAAAAAATAAATCTTAATAAATAAATCTGCATTTAAAAATTAAAAATCAGATCACAAAGGGGGACATTGTTTTCTTTTGTCGTTAAATAATGATTTGATTTGATTTGTTTAACAGTACTTCAACCCCTTATGTGTCATTTAATACCGAAATTTAATTTTCATGGGAGCTTAGAAGTAATATCCGCATGATACATGTTATTCTACTTTCACAATTGAATCCATGGTAGATGATACTCAGCTTTTATGCATATACATGTTTGTGTGAACATTATTACTAGACGCGGTGATATGTATGTTTTATATTGTTGTTTTCTTGAAGTTATATTTTGGAATAGGGTTGATTTCTTTAAGAAATTATGGGATATTATATGGATTAATGTCCTGAAAGAATTCTTTCATGTTGGTTGATTTACTGTTTGTAATCTGACTATAAATAGGTACTGTTGGCAATTTTAACATAAATAGGTATTGCTAGTAATTTGACTATAAATATGTACTATTCGTATTTTTACTATAAATATGTCTTGTTGATATTTTATTATAAAAACGTATTTTCATACTTTCACAATTCTTTTTTCTTGTTTAGAGATTCACTATTTACCCATAGCTGGGACCCTAATAGGTGCTACCACCACGGGTCAAGGTGGACCTGGGAACAATAGCAATTAAGAGGTGGTTTCACGCTCCTCAAACCATCCAATATCCTGATCATAGGACTTGCTACCAGATGTAGTTTATTATCATACCCAGTACTATTTATTAAATAACAAACTGATCTCGTAGTGTTTCTACATGTTAAATTAATATGATAATCGTAAAACAGCATATCGTTCGACTTTTACGTGAAAATCTAACCAAGGCAATGATTTAAGGTATGCCATTATTTTTAACGGCATCTGTAAAATCGTCTGTGTTATTACCTAACCAGTAAATAATTAAACTCATATCTATTTATACTGATATTTAAAACTCAGTGTGAACATTCTTAGAAATAACACATGTTTTTTTCGTTTTGTTATAGTTGATTTATCTGGTGCAAAAGATTTTACCGCCTCACGGTAAACATTTGGCCGTAATCTTGCGACGTCCATCCCCAGAATGAAGAGAGAACGATTCACAGAAATGAGGTGGTCCTGCAAAGCGACGATGCTAGCAAGCGATGAAATTGCCAGCGGGAAGCTAAGAGGCTTTCTGATAAGAGATCGATATATTTCCGGCTCGGCTGGAAAATAGGATGAAGTATTTGAAATATTATTGAAAACATGCCGAAAATGACATTGTAGCCGGAGGATTTGTAACTTCTGTAGACTTGGAATTTCATACTACAAATATTTTACACTTCCTACTCGCTTCTAATTCTTTTAATTTCCAAATTTAAAAAAAAAAAAGAGAGAAGGCCTTTTTTTTTCTTTCGTGTATTTTTTTCCGTTTGTTTTATGTGTGTTTGTCCACGGGTGGGGACAAAGAAGCACACTGTGAAGTGAAATAGAAATAATAGGCTACGAGTAGCAGTCGCATATGATCTGGTGCTCCTGCTATTTATCTAGCGAGTTTTGATAAAATAAAAAGAATCTGCAATGTTATTGGTCCTGGCATGGCATGTCGGCTTCCGTCATTTTCCCGCCACCCTAACGAATCTTCCTGGACTTTTTCTATAAATATTTCCATGGCAATTGTTCTGATGAACTTTCCTCATTGATTTCGTCCGGTGAACTGATGTTTCTGCCACAGTTAAGGATTGTTTGCGCTTATTACTAACACTATTTTGTTTAGTTTCTTGTATAGAGTTTCTTGTTCATTTTTGTAAATATTCATTAATGTTTAGATTTTTAAATTGTTATTTTCTTCCCATCTCTACCCCACAGACAATGAATTGTAAATATGGGGACTAGTTAGTATATTCTTAGAGACAATGAGGTATTATGGTGATTGTAGTAAGAAAGGTACGTATGAATGTGTTGTTTTGGTGTAAGGAATATTGTTCGTACGATTGGGTCAGTGTTTGCGGCTAGCTAAGTTATAGTTAAGACAGAAGAAGACCGTCCTTTCCCCAATCCCCCTACGGCCTTGTGCCACGTTTCTGTATTTTAACAAAATAAATATCACTTTCCTTATTGATTTCGTCCAGTGAACTGATGTTTCTGCCACAGTTAAGGATTATTTGGGCTTATTACTAACACTATTTTGTTTAGTTTCTTGTTCATTTTTGTAAATATTCATTGATGTTTAGATTTTTAAATTGTTATTTTCTTCCCCTCCCCCCACAGACAATGAATTGTACATATGAGGATAAATTAGGACTTTCATAGAGACAATGAGGTATTATGGTGAATGTTGTAAGAAAGGTAAGTAAGAATGCATCGTTTTGGTGTTAGGAATAGTGAGGTATGTTTGAGTCAGTGTTTGTGGCTAGCTGAGTTTAATGTTAAGACAGATGAAGACCACCTTTTTCTCCATACCCGCTTTTGGCTTTGTGCCACATTTTGTATCATTATACAAATATCAATTTCCCCTTTGGTATATAAATTGTATTCATTGTATATATTCATTGTACTTTCTCTTTTAAAAGTTCTTATTTTATTCCCCATCCGCAGCAGATAAATTGTACAAATAGGAACTATTTAGGACTACATAGAGACTTTGAGGTATTATGGTATTATTAAGCTAAGTTTAAGATAAGACAGAATGAAGACCAGCCTTCACCTATCCTAGAGCTTCCCGGCCTTTTGCAAACATTTTTGTATTTTTCAAAATAAATATTACCCCCCACCCCCTCTGTGGTACCTAGACTGTATGAATTATGGTTGGGATAAAATGGGGGACACAGACCTTTGTGCAATTGAGTCACAATTATAAGCTGAGCGTAGCAGTAGCGAGTAAGAAAATCATTCGTCCATACATAGAATATTACTCACATATTTGGTCTAGTACTTCTGCTATATATTTAGAGATTCTAGTTTAAATACAAAGCAGAATCTGCAATGTCATTAGTCCTGAACTGGCATCTCGGCTACAGTCATCTTTCACACTTCTGTAACGTAGCTTCGCTTAGTCTTTTCTTTATATATTTTCATGGTAATTGTTCTGACGTGATTTTCTATTGGGTACTTAGACTCTATGAATTGACGTACTAGATTATTGGCAGCAAAGTCATCTCACTTTACTGTTGATATGGCTTGATATAAACGTAAGTTTTATGTTAAAAGTTTCTTACCTCACAATTCTCGCTTGTAGGACACTCTTCCGGCTCCATGCTTCCCAACCAACATTGATCTTCAAATATTTAAATGTAATGTCAATCGTTATCGTCTGTCTTCAGCCAAGTAAAACTGGTACAAATACAAATAATGAAATCAAAGCACATTCCTCACAGCCAAATTTGCGTGATATGCTGACAAGTTTTGAGATAAGCATTTTATAAACTTGCAGGTGAGGTACAATTAGAAATAACTTTGGGTATATTGTTTTATTAATTGATTGATTTTTTATAGTTTATCAACCTTGTGCAGGTTATTTAAAGACAGAATATATTTTTAGATTGTAAGAATTTTTTGAGATGATAATGATTTACTGATACAAGTCCTATTAATTAACCCGTAGATGGGAGTTAGAAGAGGTTTATTCATAAATTTCCCAAAGGTATTTGCGCACAAGTGAATATAACAAACTCGAATAGAACTGGAAATCGGCTCCCCAATTTCCAATAACGAGCCCTTATCCATTACACCACCCGCACATCCAATCTAACAGCACCTGGTATTCCCAAACGGGCATTCACATAGTTACTAACAAGGCTCAACGTTGCTTAACTTCGGTGATCGTACAAGAACCACTGTTTCGACGTGATATGGCCGTAAGCCACCTTCTCATCGAGTAATCCAGTTTATTCAAACTCTCTCCAATGGAGGGTGTCTCCAATAATTAGATGTAACTCTCAAGTCACCTAAGCTGACTCATCCTTACAACTTAAAAAAATCGGGACCCGGTCATCATGTTCCCTAACGACTACCGATCATGAACAGATGTACAGTGACTCAGCCTCTAAAGGGACATGTCCAATTCGTCATGCACGCGCAACCGTCAAGCAAATAATATTGAAAGATATATATACTGTAACCCATTTTAATTTACTAAGATAAACTATGTGTATGTTAACACCTGCAATCAAGAGACATGAGAGCCATGACTAATTTGGCCCATTATCATATAATAATTCTGCTTGCCAGATTTTAGTTCGCACGACCGTCACGCCCTGCCATTGTGTTATAAATAATGGACTATTCCGTTTTGATCGCTTGGAAAGGCAAAAGACATATCAGAGACGTTACTTGGTTTTAGTAAAAGAAAGGAATAAAGAAAGGTTGAAGTATTTAACGTTTTAACTCTTAAATAATGGATTATTCCGGTTTGATCGCTTGAGAAGACAAAGGACATATCAAATACGCTACTTGGTTGCAGTCAGAAAAATGAAAGTAAGAAGCGAAGATAGACGTGTTTAATGTCTATTTCAGTGAAATGGAAAACGTTTACACTATTTACTTTGTTCGGACTGATGTCTTCATCTTTATTGCCATATTCCCGACGTTTCGACTGTTGTATGCTCCAAGCCTTTGGGTATCTCAGTTTTAGTTAATTCCTCTTTGTTAACTTAATTCTCCAAATTTCTGATTTCTCCGCTGTGGCCAGGGATTAGACTCACAGTTCTTTGGGTGAAGTCACTTTTAGGTCTATCAGCAAATAATCCACTGGACCATGTATCATGGCACTTGGATTTAAAAAACCTCCCCACGTGGACTAAATAAAGGGTTCGATTCAAAAATCACCTGAAGATGTCCGATGAGTACAACGGCCTAAAGGTTGGGAATATGGCTTGCATTCACTTTCACACAAATAGCATCGAGAACAGAATGGATCCATCTCCACCCGCTACATCAGCTATTACTGGTTTAAAAAGATTGGGCTCTCTACCAGTTAATCTCGTTCTTTCTTTCCCTGTCTCTCTCTGTCTCTCTCTATCTATCTATCTTTCTTTCTCTCTCTTCCATATTTCTCTCTTTCACTCTCTCTTTCACTCTCTCTTTCTTTATCTCTCTCTCTCTTTCTCTCTCTCTCTCAGGTAGCTAATTTAAGAGAATTCGATCTTTGAATTCCAAACCGTAGAAAAGTCGACGAGAAACCACTCCACTACCATACCCAAGAAAATACCGAAAGTCATAGATAATAAAAAAGGAATCTGTGGAGAGCCATAACCCCGTACGTCCTGAAGGGGCATGATATTTTAATAAAAATGAGAAGTATTTCATGGAAGACATTCGCTGGACTCTGAAACTTGGTCACTTACTGATTTAAAATACACCATGTCATTTTAAGGTGTCATTAATCATGGCCCTCTACAAATACATTTAACTGAGAAATAACATAGCTTTTTGAGAAAAATAAGGGTCTCCCGTTATCCAAATCCGCAGTTTTGAATTCACTAACAGACACAAAAAGGCGACTGTAGAAACTGCTAGATAAGGTATTAAAGGAAAGTGTAAAGAAAAGACTATGCATCAACTGTAAGAAAATAGAATGCATGGCTTTTATCAAGAGGAAGCAGCCCAAGACGTGAACAAGGCATTGAATATATCGAAATCAAGCACGTACAAACAATCAGGAAAACGTTCTAGATGAGGACCGAATATGTTACACAGAAATACAAAGGCGTCTTTGAATAGGTAATGATGCTTTCTAAAAGTTTAGCAAAGTATTAAGTAACAAGAACATTTCAGCAAACATGGACCTTCGTGCCGGCAAAAAATGAATTGTAAAAGGGGACAGGTTTTCCCGTGACACCGCTATTATTTTACTGCTCCGCGGCAATATTTACTATTTTAAAAAGCGATGATTTGAATTATAATAAAACCAAAACATATGATGAAAGTGAATTTATACATTTTATGTTCTTGAGAACTTACAGCAAAACATTAAACACTATTTATTTATTAAATCGTTTATTTACAAGAATAAATTATATATTTGCAACATTTTAAAACTAAACCAATTATATTAAAACTAATGCAATGCAATATTTATCATTTTCCGATTTATAAAGAAATAAATATGAAAACATTGCTTTTATTTATAAGCATTTACGAAATTTTAAAAATATTTGAACTAACTATAAGTAAATCATTATTATTTATAAAGTTCGAAAAATCTGGCAATTATTCGATGTTTTGCCAACCATTCCAGTAAACAATATAATAAATAGTTACTGTAAATAAACAATCAAATAAATAAATAGTTTATTATTTTTGTTGACAATTCTAAAGAAACAAAGAAAATGTATAAATTCACTTTCATATGTTTACATTTTATTACATTTCTTTTGAAAACATTGTCGAAGAGTGAAGGTAGTTAAAATAAAAGCGAAGTCATTTGATACAGCGTTTCTCTTTGCGTACACGAAGAAACATGTCTGCCAAAATTTTGTTAAAAACAAAAAAGAAAGAGCAGAATTCTTATGTAATACCAATCTTTCTATACGGCATCGAATGTTGGGCAATCCCATCAGAGATGAAGAAGATATTTGAGGCAACAGATATGTGCTTTTACAGAAGGACGTTAAGAATACTAGGGACTGAAAATGTAAATAACCAAGAAGTTTTAAACTAAAGATAACAGAAACAAAAACATCTGGAACAAATAACGAGAAAAGATGTCTTGGAGAATTTAATACTGCCAACACATATTAAAGGCAAGAGGGACACAGCGATTAATGTGTTGCAGACCCGGTAGGGTGCAGTGCTGGTTTATTACAAAGTGGCCTTGTGCCAGACACCACACTAAACTACCGAGTCCACAAACAATGTATAAAAAAAATGCGTGAATGAACAGTGAGAGGAAAGGGGTCAATCAACAAGTGCATAAATTATAAACATCAAAGAGATAGCCGGAATAAAATGACAAAGGCGTCTGGATGCAAAACATGTGTAATTTTTTTTATTAAATGGAAAAACAAGTAGGTATCTCGTGGTACGAGATCAGAGAAAATGTTCCGCGCCAAAATAGGAAAGCAAGATGAACAAGGCGGGAAAAAGAGTTTTATAAGGTTCTGGAAAAAGGAACTCGTTAACAGAGGTGTAGGTGCGCACAGATAGAAAGGAGTACTCACTGTGGATTTTTTTGGCGTTGTAAGTGTGTGTGATTTTATGTTTTTTTATCTTTTTTATGTTCAGGTTCAAAGTAGAGAGAAAGTTCAGTCGTTTCAGAGTTTGGTCAGGCCTTGAATTAACTGTTGAAAATTTTAACGGAATGCTGTGGACGTCTAGCCAAAAGGACGAAGAGTTATTTGCAGTTGGTTGCATCGTCTATGTGAAGTTACTTATGGCGAGTCCAGAAGGGACGAAGAATATCTGTTCGTCAGTAAGATATCCCTGTCTGTATATAAGTCACTTGTTGAATACGAAATTTTGCTCACGACCGTGTCGTGTGTCTCGCACATTTTCTATCAGAAAAGCAAGTTGTTCGTCAATAAGATATCCCTGTCTGTATTTAAGATTGACTGACGAGGGATAAAAATAAGCCACTTGTTGAATACGAAGTTTTGCTCACGACTGTGTCGTGTGTCTCGAACGTCTTCTGGTCGAAAACGGAGAAGGTCTGACCTGCGGGCAGCTTCAAGACGAGAAGAAATCTTGGTACAGTGTGAGGTCGACATTGTTGAAATAAGATATTTTGGCCCGCATATGGGTTAAGGGCACGGAATAAATGAGTTGCCCGTCTAGTTAGGTCGAAAGTCGGGAGGCAACTGGCTTGCAAACCCTGTTCGTTTGAGACGCCGAGAAACGCGCGGGAAAAAATTCAAAATCTGTTAGTCTGACTTCATCAGTAGGAGCTAGCGAAGTTCCTCCTCCAGATTACTGCTACGTCTAGCTGTGAGAGGGAGGAAGGGGTGCAAACCGCGCGCGCACACGCACGAGTGTGAAAGGAAGGGGGGGGGGAAAACTCGCGCGCGCGTAAAATGTAGATGGAATTAATGTGTTAATTCCATAAATGTAAACGGATGCCAGCACAAGGCTAGAAAGTAAATATTGAGAAGCATCACTCCAGATGTTTTCATGATAATCCCTCAAGAGTTATGCCCCTTGCATTAGAGTTCAGTGTGAAAAGAATAAAGAGATGGCCGAACAAGTCTTAACGTATTAAAAGTGTTTCCTGTCTTTATTAAATATATTACAGGTGTAGTAACAATGGTCTATTTTTGGGCGGATCTGACTTTTACAAAAATGAACCATAGTAGCAAGGGTTAATCTTTAACTGGTGTGTTTCAAAACGACACCTGATGAGAGTGGGCTAGCTTTTTCTTTGTCAGCAGATAAAGTTTTAAAATTATACTTTTGTTAAAGCCTAATTTGAATATATCTTTTCAATCTGCATCTCTATCAAATCTCATTAAAAATAAATGCTTCATTTAATAAATAATTCTTTCCTTAGAAACAACACAAGAGCACTTCATTTGCAGATACAATTATGAAGTTTGTGAAGCATAATAATGAGAAATAAAGTGTGAAGTCACTGGATGATGTTACATTTTAGAATCATGTGATTACATTATTTATTTTATCTTCATAAAAATTAAATCACTTTATTTGTTCATTTATAAAATAATTTAAACAATGATCTTTTTTAAATATTTGTTTTTATTCTACCATCTAAATAGACTTATAATTACCGTATATACTTGTGTAGCGCAAAAACCAAATATTTTCACTTTTAAAAAAATGATTTTATCATGTATCTCGTGCGAGTTCCTTTTTTGAGAGACCAAATCACAATAGACTAACCACTTTTCCTCTATTTATTTAGTCCATCT